AGCAAAGCTGAGAAGGCTGAGAAAAGTCTAGGTGACCGACTGTCACGAAGCCCTGACTAGGAACTTCAGGGGGACTCAAACTCAAACTGAATCCTAGTGTAAGGACTTGGGACTGTATTTTCTTTTTTTCTCTTTAATTGCTGAATTCTATATTACAATTTGACATTCTTCCTAATTATAAACTGTTTTTACACAGGTATATACTGTGCTGTGAGCACATGCCCTCACACCCCACTGCGCTCCCCTCTTCCCTCCCTCCCACTGCCCCCTTTGTTCCCCAGTTTCACTTCTACGTTCACGTCGTCAGTACATCTGTGACCGTATGGATCCATAAAGAATAAGAAGGAGAGAAAAATAAGAGGAATGGGATAGTTAACCTTCTGAGACGGACTATAGGACTGTCCTCAGGAGCGTCCATTTTCCGACAAACAATATAACTTCATCACTATGGCTGAAGAAACTCCATTGTATATACACACTACAGGGGGGGAGAAATCGCTGAACATCCCTGAGCAAACACTGCAGTGACTTTGTTTCTGAAAAATTGAATAAGCAACAGTATGGAGACCGCATTTAGAGAGGACAATTAGTTAAGCAGTTGCTAGAATAATCTCCACTGTGAGATTATGTCTGCAAATGGCCATATGCACCTGCACCTGCCTGGAACTTAGGACCTGCTGAAAATGGAACCACTTTCCAGAGGGGAACCACCTCTTCACTTATTTTGGTCAATGAAGTTCTACAGAGGCTTCATCCTACCCTAGGATCCATCATTGAAGGCCAACACAGTCCAGGCCCAAGTGAGCAATGTGCTCTACATTCTGACTGTAAGAGCACCAGCCGGTCGGCCCCGGAATGCCCACTTTTGCTGGAGCTGCTGGACTGCATCCTTTCTGTTACTGCTGCTGAGATTGCCAGGTTTGGAGTTGCTAAGGTCTCCCTGGAGAAGGTCTCCTTGAGAAGAAAACCAACAAGCCAGAACCCAGCGTAGAGACAGGGGCAAACACCTAACTTTCAGCACCAAGGTTGGGCTGTGCCTAAAAGCAATTCTATACCTTGGATTTTTTTTTTTTTTTAAGAACTATAAACCTTTATATCTGTAAATGTTTTAAAAAAAAAAAGAATTGAAGGAAATGTCATAGAAGAAGTGACAGACACTAGTGCCTGCTTGGATAAGGAACAAGGAGAAGAGGGAAGTATCCAATTTTACTGTGAGGTTCTGGCTCAGTTGGCTAAATAGAAAATGCTACAAACTGGGGCTGAGGACATAGAAGGAGGTGGTTTTGATCCTCTGAGTGTCAGAGTCACTAAAATATGCGCTCCTATTTAATTCTGCCTCTGGGCCACTGCACCAGGAAAACTGAGCCCTGGCTAGAGCAGAATTCCTAGCTCTCAAGTAGCCTGCGTGGCCGAGGGACGTCTAGGATGACAAAGGAACGCTTGAAGGACTACTGTTCTAGCTGACGGTTTCAGGAGACAACTCCCAAACAACCAGCATTTACGGAAACTTTAGGGGAGGATAAATATCATTCTTCTTTTGTTTTTGTTTTTTTGTTTTTCAAGACAGGGTTTCTCTGTGTTACAGCTCCAGCTGTCCTGGAACTCACTTCTGTAGACCAGGCTGGTCTCGAACTCAGAGATCCGCCTGCCTCTGCCTCCTGAGTGCTGGGAGTAAAGACGTGCGCCGCCACCACCGCCCGGCTGATAAATATCATTCTTAAGCACAGTGGTATCCTGCTATCAGATAGTTAACTACATGGAAAACAATGGGAGAACCTATTATGTAAGTGCACTTCTAGGATGAAGTTAAGAGCTAGGTCAACACCCCAATCTCCCACGAGCTCAACTTAGCTAGAGGAGCCGTGGAAATAGGAAGAAAAAAAATCACACTGCTGGGAATAATAACCTGTGGACAACACACCTAGCACATGGAAACTGGAGCCTGGACAAAGCAAACAACCGTCTGTACTTTAGTACATACCAGGCATTCTGTGAGGAACCTGACCTCATTATCTTATTGAATCCTTATGATCGTCCAGCAGGGAAGAGCACTGCCTTACTCAGGCAGGGCCCAGTAAGATGACCAAGTCAAGCACACAAGCTAGGCTTCTACTATAGCTTTGGATATAAGAAATGAAAAGAGATGTCTGACATTTCACTGTGAGGCTCTGGCTTGGTTGACTGAGTGGAAAATGCTATTGACTGAGATAAGAACAAAAGAGAAGCTTCGGTGGGTTTAAATTATGCACATTTCACTATCAAGTGCTTTCATTGGAAAACTGTATCTCCTTCATGCTTGAAAACTGCTGCTGTCTCATCGAGATGGCTCTCTGAACTGTGTGTTGTAGTGACCATAAAAAGGTCATGTTTGCAGTGGCCCAGCCACAATGCCTCAATTCTCACACACAAGGCCTGATTTACTAGTGTCTATCTGGAACTAAGGAGGCCATCAGTACCATGAAGCTTCACTGAAAACACAATCTGAACTAATCAGCCACCAATAGAGAGTAGCCTTACAACAAGTTTGAGTGAGTGACTGTGTGGGGCGGGGGGAGCGGTAGGGGGAGCCCATTGCTGAAACTGTTTAAAGTACTCTAGTTAAGAAGCAAGTATAAAAGTGGTAATCGACAGAAAAAATTCACCTGCAAAGGAGTTGTCCCACCCACCTAGATGACAGGCACAGAACGGTAAAAATGAAAGCATTCTTGTGTACACCTGTCACACTATCATATTGGGCGGCAGCAGAGTAGAGACATTAGAACTGGGTGTGAGTCTCAGTTCCACCAGAGGTCCATGCATAACCACAAGTCACTCATCCCGTCCGTGTCCCTGCTTCCTCATCTGGGAAGTGATAATGGTACAGCAGGTACCTCGCAATTGTTAAGACAGTAAATAAGTTAGCATCCATAACGCTGTCAAGACCGCGTCTGGCGTACAGCAAATGAGTCATGGATAAATAACTAACTAATGAAGCTCCAGCTAAACGGGGAAGAAAAACCCAATTTAAATCTGACCCAGCCTGCTCCACCCGAGATAGCACAGGAAAGTCAAAATAACCTAAAGCCTGTTTGGCAGCTACAAGGTATCTTTTACATAAAATACTTCACAGACATCTGGAGGAAGACTACATAGCCAAATATACAAAAGCAGAAACTAAAATGTAGAAAAAGGAAGTAAAACATTCAGTTTCATTTGGTATACACCATTCATAGACCTCAGGCAAAAACTCCAGGTTCAACCACCTCGTACTCAAGAAATCATAGCGGGGATATCTTCACCCAACCAGTTTTCAATTCCCCCTTGAGAATACGGAGGGAGATTATTTTGTTTCTAGTCTTTCGCCTTCACCTGCTCTGGAAAGCATCGCTGTATCTGAACCTATTTCTAAGTGTCAAGAAAGACGCCCTTCTGCCATATTTCTGTGTGTCTCTGCTCCTGCATCCTCCTAAGAGGTTAAGACCTGCTCCTGTTGTTCGCGTGGTGCTAGGGATGGAACCCAGGGCCACCTGCACGTTAGGCCTGTACTCTACCATGAATTACACTCCCAAACCTCAGACCAGTTGTTAGTGAGGCAAATTCCAAACAGGAGACACATCTCTACAAAGTCTAAATGATCACAGAGCTAAAGCAGCTTTTAAATCCTAATTTGGGCTGGTGAAATGGTTCTCTGCGTAAAGGTGTTTGCCCCCCAGCCTGACAACCTGATTCTAGTCTCAGAATCCACATGGTGGATGGAGAGAACTGCCTCCTCCAAGCTGTCCTCTAACCTCTGCACGTGTACACACACACACACACACACACACACACACACACACACACACACACACACACACGGGTGTAATTGTTTAAATTAAAAAAGAAAATAAATCTTAAAAGCCCCTATTTCTAGAGGCTAAGACTTTCTGACAATAGTTCCACATAAACTTGAACTTGCTTTTAGTTTGCACTGTGGGGAAGAAAGAAGTGAAGGGGTTGCCGATGAAAAGGAAATGACAGAAGTCCTTTCAGGGCAGCGGGATCTCACTGACAAAGGGCATGCACACAATTTCTGTCCCTTCAGCAAGCCCACACCCAGTGAAATCAGTGGCTTTTTACACACAGGCCGTCCTCTCCTCCTCATCCACGTTCATCCCTTTCTAACCTTCCTGGGCCAATCATAACCTAAAACCTTGGCTCCCAGAAATCCTTACATCACCCTCCTAATATCGGTCTGGGTTGTCACCGCAAGTTTTAAGGCAGGGCACCAACCTTGTCCCCTTGCTCTTATCTACAGAGTCTGGCCTATAAAATCTCACTACAGCACCCCAGTCCTTTCTCCCAGACTCAGTACTCCTCTCTCCTCCAGCAGTCTTGGATCTTGGCTTCACTGTCTTCTATTCCCGGCCCTAACGAATCATACCCACCCTCACTCTCCGTCCCTAAACTCTCCTCCCTGTCCTTATACACGCCCTCTTGGAAATTCTTCCCAAACAAGTCACTCGCGGCAGTCGCTCTCAGGTCTGCCGCGCCCCGCACTGCGTGTCACCCCAGCCGTGCCAAGTCTCCCGGTGCTCGCGCGCACCCAGCAGCCCCGACTGACTGCCAGCCGCTCCCAGCCCACCTGCTCTCCTCCGGCAGGCGCTCCCTGCCGCCGCCAAGATCCATTCCCGCGCCCTCCGGACGCATCCGGGACTGCAAGGCCGTCTCCGGGCTGAAGAGAGGCTCCCGGCCGCTTTGGTCGCCAGGGCGCCCGTTGCACCCTCAGGACAGGGGAGGCACCACGGCTGGTGGGCTCGGAACCCTGCACTACACCCTGGCGGCGTCAGCGCCAAGGACTGCTGCTTCAGCTGCGGTTCTAACCCCTGCCACCCCCACTTCCGGCTCCAAAGACTACAATTCCCAATAAGCCCTTCGAAGACTGGCCACTCCCGACATGCACTGCCCTACCCAATCCCAGGCTGAGCTAACCCGGGCACACAGACTCTAACCGCGTGCTAGGCTAGTTTGGCTAGGCGGGGTACCTGGATTGAAAACTCCAGTTAACGATGGTCAGGAATGCGAGGGTGCACTCCTGTCACACTTTACTCTGGAAATCGGACTCTGTTGGAGGTCAAGATAGACAATAAAACTAATATAATTCAAATTCGATTAACTTCACTTCAGTCCATCCTGATTTAACACCTGTTGGTGTTGGGAGACTCCAAGCATTTAAATCAAGAACTGAACCGCAAAAGAACAGTTAGAAAGGCTAGGCTTTGTGGGAAGGTCTCCAGCGGGAGTGATGCCAGGGTACAGGTTACTGCTTTATTTTTAAATATTCTTATATGTATATGCGTGGGTCTGAGTGTATGTTCACGTGCGTGTAGGTGCCCGCGAAGGCACCAGGACAAGGACCCGAACCTGGAACCCGGTCCTCTGCAAGAATGCATCGTTCTCAACCGTTGCACCAATTCCCCACCCCGTTTTGGTTTTGTGGCACAGGCTGGCCTTGAATTCAGGATCCTCAGCCTCCCGGGTGCTAATATTGTAAACATACACCACCAAAGCCAGGCACAGCCAGTTTCTAGGATGTGAGTTAACAAAGGGGTAAAAGGAGAGGTGAGAAAGACAGATTGAACAGCTCTGACAGATACTAAGGAAATATGGTGCTGCTTCTTAGTAATCAAAACTGGGGGAAGGCAAAATGGTTCAGTAAGTAAAGATGCTTGCTACCAAGCCTGACAACTAGAGTTCGAGCCCTGGACCCCCATGGTGGAAGGAGAGAGCCAACTCCTGAAAATTATCCTCCGTCCTCCACATGAGTGTTCCTGTACACACACACACACACGTACACACACACACACACACACACACACACACACACGCACGCACACACACACACACTAAAATGTAATATGAAAAGTTTTAAAGCAAAGAAGGTGATGAGAAAGAATGATGTGGCATTCTCATGCAAGCGGACCACGGTATGAAATGACACTTTTTTTTTTTTTTTTTGGTTTTTCGAGACAGGGTTTCTCTGTGTAGCTTTGCGCCTTTCCTGGGACTCACTTGGTAGCCCAGGCTGGCCTCGAACTCACAGAGATCCACCTGCCTCTGCCTCCCGAGTGCTGGGATTAAAGGCGTGCGCCACCACCGCCCGGCTGAAATGACACTTTTAAGGACTTGGAATCTTAGCAGTAAGACGGTGCGCTTTGTCGTGTACAAATGAGGAAATAGGGCCGAATCTGCTTACAGAGCTAAGTGTGACGATGTGGAGGGGGATGGAGTGGGTATCACATCAGAAGTAAGAGGAAAGTAGACAGAGGGGATTAGAAACCCGGCAGTGAGTCAGGGGGTGGTGGCCAAGAGTGATATGAGCGAGTTGCAAGAAAGGAGAGAATGGCAGGAGTTCTGACCTGGAAAGTTGCAGCCTTTTTCCAAGGGGAGCCTCACCTTAGCTGTAACTGAATGTTCACAAATGGACACTGGGTCCTCGGGTTGCCAGGTACTAGAGTTTTGGTTTTTTCCAAAACAAGCTGGGATCTGCCCTTTAAGGTATAATTAACTGCATTTCTAAATGCTGGCAGACTACCGTCCAGACCAAGGGAAGCTTGTCTCTAGGCTGAAGGTGGCCCTTTGGTTGATAATTTACAAGCCCAGACCTACGCTAGAGCAGGGGCTGGAAGGGTAAGGTTAAGAGTACAACAATATTAAGGTAAGAAAAAATTATTTTGTGAAGGGCCGGATACAGCAAGTGAAGGTAGAGGAGAAAGCAAGGACAACTCCATTAAAACTAAGGACTGGCCGGGCGGTGGTGGCGCACGCCTTTAATCCCAGCACTCGGGAGGCAGAGCCAGGCAGATCTCTGTGAGTTCGAGGCCAGCCTGGGCTACCAAGTGAGTTCCAGGAAAGGCGCAAAGCTACACAGAGAAACCCTGTCTCGAAAAACCAAAAAAAAAAAAAAAAAAAAAAAAAAAAACTAAGGACTGTTAAAAATAACACAGCTTCTAAGGAGTCTCTAATGTGGGGATGTAGCTCAGTTGGTAGGCTGTTGCAGGATATTTGATCACACTGTAACCCCGAGATTGTGTTATTTACTGGAAAAACCTGTTTCTGGTTGTGGTGTGGCTCAGCCCTAGCACACACCTTTAATCCAGAAGCTTTCGGCTTGACTACTGTGAACAGGACTAAATAAAGTCAGCCCCAGGTCAAGAAGCAGAGCCAGCAACCAGCTGACAAGAAGTGAACATAGGATTATTAAGAAAAAACCATAGAAAGTAAGGGGGAGTCAGGAGCATGGATAGAGAGACGCAGAGGGAGTAGAAGGGAGGGACATTCACTTGGAGGGTCTAGTTTGAGACAGTGTAGGAGAAAGAGGCTTCTGGGATCTCAGTGGCGTAGAAGAAGCAGGAGGTTTGGGAACTGAACTATATAGTAAGATCCTGTCTCAAAAAAATTAAAATAAAAAAAAATATTGACAAAATCTTTCAAATTAAATACAATAACATATTTAATAAAGATGATACAAAATGGCTAGATCCATTTATCTCAGAATGCAATATCTAGGGCTGGCGAGATGGTTCAGAGGTTAAGAGCACATACTGCTCGTCCAGAGGATCTGAGTGAAGGAACTCTAGCTAGCCCCGGCCAGGCAAACATGGCTCTGGCAGGCCTTTCCCTTCTCCCCCATCCCCTCTGCCTTACTGAAAACCATTAGATTACATTCCTAAAGCTAGCACCAAGGTCTATTTCCTTATTTGGCCACTTTCTCCTCCTGAGGCTGACTACCAAGGCCCAATAATCAAAGAAAGCATTGATATCTAGCAATCAAAAGCCCCCTTTGGCTCACCTAATTAACATGCCCAGTTAAAATTAACAACATCCTAACACAGGGTTTCCCCTTCTACCTTTATAAACTGCCATTTGCCTGCATGCCACATCTGTCTCCTCTCTATCCACAGGCAGTCCTGTGTCCCCATCTCCCTTGCTCCCTTCTCCTTTTCCCTTGTCCTCTGTCTCCTGTCTTTGTCTCTCATTCCCTGCTCTTTGTCCCTTTGGGGCAAATAAATCTCCTTTGTGCTGAGAACTTGATGTCTTGAGTTGAGCAAATACCAGTCTCTTCACTGAGTTTGGTTCCCAGCACCCATGTCAGATGACTCACAACTACCTGTAACTCCAGCTCAAAGATGGCCAACACCCTCTTCTGGCCTCTGCAGGCACTACATTCGCACGCACGTATGCACGCATGCACGCTGTGAAATAATCCTTTTGTACACTGTGAAAATGTTTTGCTCTCATTGGCTTAATAAAGAGCCAACTGGCCAATAGCTAAACAGAAAGAGGTGAAGCTGGAGAGCCAGACTGAAAGAGTGTAGGGAAGAAGGAGGGTGGAGTCAACAGCCAGATGCAGAGGAAGCAGGAGATGAACAAGTGCTGAAAAAAGGTACCACCAAATGATAGAGCGTAGACAAGAAATACAGGTTAACTGAAGTTGAAACAGCTAGTCAGTAATAAGCCTAAGCTATCAGCTGAGCATTTATAATTAATAATAAGTCTCTGTTTTGTTATTTGGGGAGCCAACAGTCGCAACGAAAAACTCCACCTACATATATACACATAATTAAAAAATAAAAAAGAAACACAAATCCATCTACCATGTTAACATAATTTTAAAATAACCATTTGATTATCTCACTTGATACAGCAAAAGCATTAAATAGAGTTCAACATTCATAATTAAAACTCCACAAACCAGGCACAGATGGGAACTTCCTCACCCTAATAAAGAACATCTTTTAAAAATGTGATACTTAACAAAAAGCATCTAAAAATAATCCATCCTAGTTAAGGAATAATTGGGACAGTGAGATGACTCAGTAAACAAAGGTGCTTGTCACTAAGCCTGACCTAGGTTTGATCTCCAGGACCCACATGGTCGAAAGAGAACCAACTCCGGCAAGTCGCCCTCTCATGTCCGCACATACACATTAAAACGCATAAAATGTAGGAGAGGGAGAGGAAGGGGGAGAGGGAGGGGAGGGGGGGAGAGAGGGAGGGAGGAAAAGAAACGCCCCCCAAATTGGAATGTTTTCCCTCTGGGGTTGAGAGCAAGGTAAAGACATCCAGCTGCACTACTAATTAAAGCATGGTACTAGAGTCCCTGGTACAAGACGGACAAGTAAAAAACATACAGGTTCGAAACAATTACACTAAGTGAATTTTTTTTTCAGTCATTCTAAAAATATGGTATGAGCCCATTCATATAAAAGGCTAAAAAACTGCAAACTTATCAACAGTGGCAGAAACCAAATTAGTGCCCCCACCCCCAGGTAGCAGGCGAGGGGAAGAATTACATAAGAGCATAAGAAAACCTTTACAAGTGATTGATATATTTATTATTCGGGTTAGGGTGATATTTTCACAGGTATCTGTTCTGTGCACCTCTATACACTGTATACTTTAAATGAGTGTCTTTTATTGGCTATCAATTATATCTCAACAAAATCGAGGGGAAAGGAAATCTAGAAGGTACACTAAACAAAACATAGCAAAGGGGTTATGTGTGAGAAAGTTGTGAGGATTGGGAACTGCTGAGTTCACAGTAAAACCTTGTCTCAAAAAAAAAAAAAAAAAACAAAAACAAAAAACAAAAAACTTCAGTTGGCCAAGTGAGTGCATGGGGACTGGAGTTCCGTCTCCAGCACTCACCTAAAAAGCCAGGTGTGGTGGCACTCAAAGGCAGGGAGATTCCTGGGGCTTCTGCCAGCTAGTCTAACATAATTGATGAGACCAGGGTCCTGGTTAAGAGTCTGTCTCAAGCAGGAAGAGGGAGGGGTGGGAACGATACAGATATGGTGTACTCAAGTATGAAATCCTCAAATTAACAACAATAAAAGCAAGTTGGAGAGCTCCCGAGGAAGTACACAAACAGGGGTTGATCTCTGGCCTCGACACCCAGTAGCACCTGTGCACACACAAACACAACGGACTGCAGAAATCCTCTAGGTGCTCAGAAAATACTTCTTGCTCTGCAAGGGGAGCAAAAGTAAGAGATCCATCCAGATCATTTACTGTTCATCTTCTGAGCCTATCACAATGTCTGGCTCTCAAACCCTACCCAT